GAAAGCTGTAAGTAAAAAATGAAAACCTCCAGGTTTATTTACAGTTTTGCATAAGTTTGTGTCACAGAGCTGGCCCTTCCCCCCCATCCTCTAGGTTTCCTGCCTGCCACCCCCCACCCCTCACACTTCTGTCCCATCCATGATGGGACTTCTAGTCCTCTGTGTCCCTGACACAGGCAGCCCTCAGCAGCCCCTCACCCCTCTCGCTTGCAGTTTGTTCCCCTGCTGAAGGAATCCACAAACAGGCCCCCTCCTCCCTTCTCCCCTCATGCACATCTTCCCGGGCTCCTTAGGTGGGTCCAGAGACCTGGGAGACAGGGCCCGTTGCCATGGTAACCCGACAGGAAGTCTCCGGTTACCAACAAGGCACCCAGCTCTATACTTAAGGGTGAGCAGAAAAAAAAACCCTGGTGTTCTCCTGACTGCGTGTGTGAGAGAAGGCTGTACTGAGTGCCAGCTTCTCTCATCTGACCATCCCCCGTCGTCCTCCTCATCTCCCTGGCTGACCGGACTGTGTCCGTCTGCTGCTGGATCCTCTCCGGTGTGGGGTGAACTCTCTGCTGCCTGGAACCTTTTCCCTGCCTGGACTTACCTCTTCTTCCCTGTGAACCTGCGGGCTGGACATTTTCCCTGCCTGGACTTACCGCTTGTTCCCTGTGAGCCTGCGGGATGAACATTTTCAGTTCTTGGATTGCCTGTGAGCCAAACAGACTTAACCCTTCCCTGCCTGGAGCTGCCTGTGTGGATTAACCCTGTGTTGCCTGTGTGGACTGTAGCCCTCTGTGTCCGGCTCCCCGCATACAGTAAGCAGACGGACTAACCCCTTGCTGCCCAAAAGACTGAGCCCAATTCTCCCCAGGAACCCGAAGTCCCACAAAGCCACCCCGCTCTTGCCTGTGAACCCTGTGGATTACTAGCTCCGTTGTTCCATATTGCCTTCCAAAGAACTTTTCTGTGTTACTGTGTCTGGTGTGGATCTGTGGACTAACGGAACTGTTGTCTGTGCCCCAAAAACCTCCCTAATAAAAGCCTGCACGTTGGGTTCCATGCAATCTGTCTCTGTGTGCTCTCTGGTTCTCTTGACAACTGGTTGGCAGCAGCGGGACGAGAGCACTCCAGATGGCAGATGAGAGTCTGCATACAATGAAAGAGGTGGACACAGACAGGGGCCAAGCGGTCCCGAGAGGAGATGGACCAGAGCTTCAAAGCACAAATGGCAGGAACCCTTGGGTCATCTGGTACGAGGAAGAGATGGCCATTCTGGGGAAGGATGCCACCCTAGATAGAAAGATGGCGGTCATTGAAAAGGCTCAAAAGAGACAAACAGAGTGGGAAGAAGAACCAAGCAGCTGCTCCTGTGGCTGTCCCTGTGGCACGGGAGGCCCAGAGAATATCCAGGAAGGACTTTAAGCCCTAACAAGAGCACACCGGAGATGTGGATGGGTTCTTCCAGGACTTTGAATACCAGTGTGAACTACTGGAGGTAGGGCTGCTTGACGGAGGGGCTGCTGAAGCCTACCAAATGATGGAACTATGAGGAGATAAAAAAGGCCGTACTGGACTACTACGCAGTCTCATCGGAGTCATATCAGGCCCAGTTCCGGACTACCCCCACCTCCCAGAGGCCTCCTTCAAAATGTTTGCGAACAAGTTGTCAGTAGCCTGCCGTCGGTGGCTGGAAGGGGAGAAGGCGACCTATCCTGAGCAGATCATCTAGGCCATCCTGAAGGAACAATTCCTTTTCAAGTGCCCCTCCGAGCTCCGACAGTGGGTGCGTGAGCGGAAACCTGCCACCCTGGAAGAAGTTGAAGCCTTGGCGGATGAGGCTCTCCTCATTAACCCGCAATGGAAAAAGCCTGCTGCCGAGGGACCCTAAGTGGCCAGGATGCCCATCCTACATCGTTGCCCTACACGCCTCCCCATCATCGGATGGCCACACAAACAGTACCAGCGCTACAGCCCCTACTCCCACCCCGTTCAGCCACCTCACAACGGGGCCCCAGACCGGCCTTAGATAGGCGGTGCTTTGGCTGTGGACAGATTAGTCACTACCAGGCCAGCTGCCCCGCCAAAAAACAGACTCTTGGGCCTAGCTTGCCCCAGCCAGGAAATTCTGTGGATCTGTACCAGGATCCCGAGGACTTTTCACCACCCCCTTCAGACTGGGATCTCGCTTCCGCGGACAAGGACACCCCCCAGGAGTCTTTGGCCTACAACCGGTGGGAGCCCCTACCCAGAGCCTCCAAGGAAAGCACTTGCAAGAGGTCACTGTGGATCGACAAAAGACAGTGGGCTTCCGAGGCTCAAGGGCCTTCCTCACCATTGTGGACCCCCGAGTGGTGCACCCTGACGCTGTACAGCCTGGCCCTGGGATAGTGATTCAACTAGCAGGGGGCACCAAACGCTTCATCCCTCTGGCTACTGTCAATATGGACTATGGCTTGTGGCCTAAACGCTGCAATGTGGGTGTAATGGGAGGACTGCCTGCAGATGTGCTTCTTGGGAATGATGTGGGCGATCTTCAATGTCACTTTGTGGGAGCCGTCACACGAAGTCAGGCCTGTTGGGAAACCGCTGAGAGGAAGGAGACACCCGAGCATGTGGACGGACCTCCGATGCCCACGGTGAGTGACTCAAATTTGACTGCTGACAATACTGGGGTGACATGGGACCGGGACAGGTTTCAAGGGGACTTAGCCACAGACCCTACTCTGACAAGCTTCTGGGTCCGAGCAGGGCTGACTGGTCCAGGGACCTGAAAAAGGATAGTGCAGGAAAATGGGTTGCTGTACCGATAGCTGTAGACCAATGCCAAAGGGGGGCCTCAGACCATGGCTAAACAGCTGATAGTTCCCCTGATGATGAGAAGGTAAAGTGCAGCGCTAAAAGGATAATAAATGAGGTATATATGCACATAAAAAGTTTGATCAATATAAAGTTCGATCAATATAAAATCGGCCAATGGACTGTATGTGGTATATGGCACCAAAATAACTCCCACACCAGCAGGTAATTCCAAAGCCTCTGACAGGGAATAATATGGCAAAAATGCACACTCACCGACTGCACATAGGATATGCGTATGTAAATATATAACTCTCCATCTGATGGGGTATAAACATTATGCAGGTGGTGGGCTTCCCTCAAGAGCAGGAGGTCATCAGACTTGAATGTAGTGATCCGCTGTATCCAGAGGTCTCCTTTATGCTGTCTAGGTGTAAATTATGGATAAAGGGCTCCCTCTTCCAGATATTAGATGGCACCAGAGGTTGCTCTGTGGATGCTAAAAGCTCCTCCAAAGGGAACCAAAAGAAAAGAGGGGGTGCCAATAGTGTAGTATTTCTTGTAATTTATTGGGTAAAAATAGCATCATGTGGAGAAACAAAACTAAGTGGGGGTACAGTACAATATAAAAGAGAATGCAGAGTACTGCAGCACTGACCCTTACATAAGATGGCCGCCGGATCTCCTCGTGGTCCTGGCGGCAATGACGTCACACGCTGTCAGCTCCTCCTGAGGCCTTTCGTGCTAAGGCACATCATCAGAGGGCAAGCTAACAGCCATGTGACTGACGTCCAATACTTAAATAGCGAAGATGGCGCATGCGCATTACCGCGCCGCCATTTTCATGGAGAACTACGAACTGCGCATGCGCGCTTTCAGACGCCATTTTGCCATGGATTGGTGCGATCGTAAGACACAGTAAACAGAATGGTGTCAAAATGCCAGTAGCTAGAAGCTGTCAGTGGCGCAGTTCCCAGGGGGATAATATGTAGCAGCTACTAGTATACAAGACAAGACGCCATGTATAAACAAAGGGGGAAGAGGCACTTAAACAAACTTCCCTGATTAAAAATTTATAAAATCAAATCAAAGGACCCCTAAGGTGAAAATCATATATGATTTTTAGAGATGAGCGAAGTATTCAAAAATTCGATTCGACTGATTCGGCGAATTCGTGGAAAAATTTTGATTCGAGTCGAATATATTCGCTGTGAATTTAACTTAAAAAAGGGTGTTTCTAGGCTTCAGAGAGACTTAATATTAGTGCAGAACACTGTACCTTTAATTTAAATGCCCTTGGAGTCTGCTGGGGAAGAGAAATAATACAGTCAGTATGACTGCATGTCATCTGCATGTCAGTCAGTATGACATGCAGATGAGTGCCGTCGATCTTAGAATCACCGCACACTTCACTCATTTGGGCAGTCACGGGGCCAAAACCAGAGTGTGGAGCCACAGTGTGGCGGTGGAGGCAGCAGCAATGGGAGGCCATACAGCACCCTATGACAAAAATGGAAACCACCAGCAGTGTGAGGAGACCTGAAAGTGGCACATGGCAGAGTGTGGCGATAGAGACAGCAGCAATGGGAGGCCGTACAGGGACCCATGACACACTCTGGACCTGGCAGCAGCATGAGGAGGCGGTACAGGGGCCCATGACAGATTATGGGCCTGGCAGCAGCATGAGGAGTCGGTACGGGGGCCCATGGCAGATTACGGGCCTGGCAGCAGCAATGGGAGGCTGTACAGGGACCCATGACACACTCTGGACCTGGCAGCAGCATGGGGAGGCGGTACAGGGGCCCATGACAGATTACGGGCCTGGCAGCAGCATGAGGAGTCGGTACGGGGGCCCATGACACACTCTGGACCTGGCAGCAGCATGAGGAGGCGGTACAGGGGGCGCATGACAGATTACGAGCCTGGCAACAGCAACTTGGACAGGAGGACGTTCAGCTTCTGCACCGTCGGGTGCGTGCTCGCAAACTGTTGTCTCTTGGAAATGGATTCCAAGAAAGACTGCTGACGGAATCCGTGAAGAGGAGTAGCAGGAGAAGGAGCATCTGAACGAGCGGGAATATGCCAACAAGCGACAACAGGGGCCCATGACAGATTACGGGCCTGGCAGCAGCATGAGGAGTCGGTACGGGGGCCCATGGCAGATTAGGGGCCTGGCAGCAGCTATGGGAGGCCCGTAATCTGCCAGCACCCTATGACAAAAAATGGAACCCACCAGCAGTGTGAGGAGACCTGAAAGTGGCACATGGCAGAGTGTGGCGATGGAGACAGCAGCAATGGGAGGCCGTACAGGGACCCATGAGAGACTCTGGACTTGGCAGCAGCATGAGGAGGCGGTATAGGGGCCCATGGCAGATTAGGGGCCTGGCAGCAGCTATGGGAGGCCCATAATCTGCCAGCACCCTATGACAAAAAATGGAACACACCAGCAGTGTGAGGAGACCTGAAAGTGGCACATGTTTTGGGCATGATTCATGGCGGATTTAGTCAGTTGTGTCAGGAACTGGTGGTTTGAAATCCAGACTAATCCACGCCTGATTCATTTTCACAAACGTGAGTCTCTCCACACTTTGGGTGGACAGTCGTGTCCTACGCGGAGTTGCAATACCTCCTGCCGCACTAAACACGCGCTCCGATGCCACGCCTACTGGCCGGGCATGACAGCCTTTCAAGGGCAAATTCAGCTAGTTGGGGCCAAAGGTCAAGTTTCGTTGCCCAGTAGTCAAGGGGATTGTCTACCTCGGTTGGCAGGGTGCTGTCCAAGTAGGCCTAAGCCTGTTGTTTGAGGTCCTGCTCCAGGTCCACCTGATGCTGCTGCTGCTGCGGCTGGTTAGTAGTTTCCTCACTGCGCTGGTGAAGAAAGCTACTCATCATCGACTGCAGACTGAGGCAGCTGCTGCTGGTGGAGCTGCCACTGCTCCTACCACCCCACCCCTCCCCTCCCCTGCTGCCATGGCAGCGGAACGCAAGCGCACAGGGCCCACAGTGTCTGAGGATGGACGTTGGCGCAGACAGGCAGAGACCAGCTGACTACATAGGTGGTTTTTATAGTACGTTATTTTGGCCTCCCTCTCAGCAGGTGTGAAAAAGGCCACCATTTTTGAACGGTAGCGAGGGTCCAACAAGGTGGACAGCCAAAAGTCATCCCTCTGTCTGATGGTTATTATTCGGCTGTCGGTACGCAAGCAAGCGAGCATGCTATGGGCCATTTGTGCCAAGGAATGCGAGGGACTCCCTGCCTCCATCTCCACAGCATACTGCCACGGTGCGTCTGGGTCCTCTGTCTCCTCTTCCTCCTCCTCTACCAGATGCTCCTGCTCCTCCACTCCCGTCCGCTGAGTGGAAAAACCACCCATTTCACTCAATAATTCCTGAGCACCAATGTCCTCCTCTACCTCCTCCTCTTCTTCCTGTCCTGCCCCCACAGGGGTCATGTGGCGTTGAGATCTGTGCGCCACGTCTACCGCACCCTGACCAGCCATTGTTAACAGCATTTGTTCCAGGACGTGCAACAGAGGAATGACGTCGTTCATCCCATAGTCCTGCCGACTCACGAATAGCGTGGCCTCCTCAAAGGGCCTGAGCAAGCGCAGGTGTCACGCATGAGCTGCCAATGGCTGACATCTAAGTTACACAGGGGAGTACCTTTATCCGCTTTTAACATCAGGAAATCTGTGATGGCCTTTTGCTGTTCGTAAAGGCGGTCTAACATATGTAGGGTTGAATTCCACCTTGTTGCAACGTCACAGCATGAGGAGTCGGTACGGGGGCCATGGCAGATTAGGGCCTGGCAGCAGCTATAGGAGGCCCGTAATCTGCCAGCACCCTATGTCAAAAAATTCAACACACCAGCAGTGTGAAGAGACCTGAAAGTGGCACATGGCAGAGTGTGGCGATGGAGACAGCAGCAATGGAGCCGTACAGGGACCCATGACAGACTCTGGACTTGGCAGCAGCATGAGGAGGCGGTATATAGGGGCCTTATGGCAGATTAGGGGCCTGGCAGCAGCTATAGGAGGCCGTACAAGCAGCAATGGGAGGCCGTACAGGGACCCCATGGGACAGACTTGGAGACCTTGGCAGCAAGCTATGAGGAGCGCAGGTTATAAAGGGGCCCATGGCAGATTAAATAGGGGGGCAGATTAGGGGCCTGGCAGCAGCTATCTGGAGGCCCCTTAATCTGCCAGCACCCTATGTCAAAAAATTCACACACACCAGCAGTGTGTGAGGAGACCTGAAAGTGGCACATGGCAGAGTGTGGCGATGGAGACAGCAGCAATGGGAGGCCGTACAGGGACCCATGACAGACTCTGGACTTGGCAGCAGCATGAGGAGTCGGTATATAGGGGCTATGGCAGATTAGGGGCCTGGCAGCAGCTCTGGGAGGCCGTAATCTGCCAGCACACCTATGGTCAAACAAATTGACACACACCAGCAGTGTGTGAGGAGACCTGAAAGTGGCACATGGCAGAGTGTGGCGATGGAGACAGCAGCAATGGGAGGCCGTACAGGGACCATGACAGACTCTGGACTTGGCAGCAGCATGAGGAGGCGGTATAGGGGCCCATGGCAGATTTAGGGGCCTGGCAGCAGCTATAAGAGGCCCGTAATCTGCCAGCACCCTATGTCAAAAAATTCAAACACAACCAGCAGTGAGTTGAGGAGACCTGAAAGTGGCACATGGCAGAGTGTGGCGATGGAGACAGCAGCAATGGGAGGCCCGTACAGGGACCCATGATGAGACTCTGGACTTGGCAGCAGCATGAGGAGGCGGTATAGGGGCCCATGGCAGATTAGGGGCCTGGCAGCAGCTATAGGAGGCCCTTAATCTGCCAGCACCCTATGTCCAAAAATTGAACACACCAGCAGTGTGTGAGGAGACCTGAAAGTGGCACATGGCAGAGTATTTGTGGGCGATGGAGACAGCAGCAATGGGAGGCCGTACAGGACCCATGACAGACTCTGGACTTGGCTAAGCAGCATGAGGGAGGCGGTATAAAGGGGCCTATGGCAGATTAGGGGCCTGGCAGCAGCTATAGGAGGCCGTTAAACTGCAGCACCCTATGTCATAAAATTCTACACACACCAGCATTGAATAGTGTGAGGAGACCTGAAAAGTGGCACATGGCAAGAGTGTGGCGAATGGAGACAGCAGCAATGGGAGGCCACAGGGGGCCCATGAAACTCTGGACCGGCAGCAGCATGAGGAGCGGATATAGGGGCCTAGCGATTGGGGCCCGGGACACGGGAGGCCCCTAATCTCCAGCCCCTATTCAAAAAATTTTCACACCAGCAGTGTGTGAGGGGAAACCCGAAAGTGGCACATGGGAGAGGTGGCGATGGGGAAACAGCAATGGAGGCGTACAGGGGCCCATAAGACCTGGCCGGGAGCAGCATGAGGAGGCGGTTTAAGGGGCCCTTTCAGATTTGGGGGGCCCGGCAGCAGCTTGGGGGGCCCGAATCTCCCCCACCCTATGTAA